TAAGTTCAATTTCCAGTACCAAAAAAAAAAATAGAATTCCTCATATAGGAAACAAAGAAAAATTAATAAGCTTAATAAAAACAAAGTATAAGAAAGAAAACTACTGAAAACTGATCAGCAGGAATTCATTCCATCAGAACTTACAAGGAAATCAATCAAAAATAACAAAATATATCTATAGAGAAGCACAGAGGAATACATGGGGAGAAGGAAGGAGTGACCAAAGCTTCACCAACCCAACATGATAGAAGCCTCAACATGTAAGGGTTGTTTCTGAGAGTGACCCAACAGCTTTCACCTAATTTTTCAAAAGAGGTCTTCCCAAGAGCTGAGGGTAACTATGTTTAGGAGCTGTGCTAGCTTTACATCACTGTGACGAAACACCTGGAGCAGCAACTTGAAAGGGGGGAAGGACGGTGCTGGCTCATGAGTTCACAGGGTATTAGGGTGACACAGAATATCATGGTGAAAGCATACAGCAGGGGAAACTGCTCAATTTGTGGTGGCCAGCAGGTAAAGTCAGAGGAAGAGAGGGGCTCAGGTCTCCTTATCACTGCCGGTGGCAGAACCCCAAAACCTCACATCCTTACACCTCCTAACTGTTCCACTCCCTCCCATTAGCACCATGGGATGGGGGCCACACCTTCAAATCATGAGCTTTGGGCAATATCCAGGTTTAAATAAGAGTAGGGCAGAATACTGACTATGCACCACACAACAGTCTCCTCTGTGATATTCCTATTTATTCAGGACTAGACATCTGTTCTCTCCTATTTTTAAAACCTCTGCTATGGCAAGAACGATGTCAGCATAGGATCTCCCCAGTTACTACTCATGTTTATTTGGACCTACAAGTGTTCTAATACGTAGAACCCTAATCACCCAAGCTGATGTCCTAATGACATGTCTAGAACATATACTAAGTGAGTTAAATACTTTCCCATTTTTTCCTGGGCTCAGTGGCTGACAGCAAATGTGTATGTCATCTCAGTAAATCTGGGGGTTACTCAGGATGTCTCCCATGTGTGAAATGACTGACCTTGTCATTCATCTCTACAGATCTATATCCCACACTGCGCCACCCCACACTTAGCAAAGGCCATCCGCTCTGCACATGAGACATCCCTTTCTCAGTCTCAGCGAGCAACTGGCTAAACGCTATGGCAGCACTGGA